GTTAAATCAAAACCATCCAGTAATTTTTGTTTTGTTGTTTGTTGTTTGGGGAAAAATAAAATCTTATAAAGCTAAAACCACATCCACAGATGACTGGAAGAAACCCTGAAAGTTAAAACTGTGAGATCTATATAAGAAATAACACTGGAGATAATCCATCAAGTCAGTATATTTCACTAGAGAAAAAGGAAATAAGACGTTACAGGATGGAAATGTAATTTAATAGCTGAATGAATACTCGATCTGCCTATTTCATCCTTCACAAGAAACAGGAGAGTGGAGGCAACCCAGGTGGTTACATTGTAATGTAGTCAAAATTCCATCACCCATGAAAACTGCAATTGGGATTCCACTTTTGGATTTGGCCAGCCAGAAACAGATGTGTGTTCCAACAAGAATCACAGGCTGCATCTCCCGGACAAGAGCTCTTTAGAGTGCAGCAGGAGTTTCAACTGGTTTAAACTCCAAAGAAAGGACCAGACTAAACTGAGTATAATTGTTCCAAGTGTTTAGAATTCCCAAGTTGGACTGGGGCAAAACGTGTGGTTCTCATTTTATGGACTTGAAAAAGAAGACAGTGTGATTCTTCCTTGTTCTGTCAAAAAGGAAAAAAGAAAAAAAATCCGAGAACAGAAATAAAAAATTAAGGTTGAGATGCAAAGGTTTGGCTAGAAATATCTCAGCTACAGGACATTCCTTCAGTGAGTAAGGTTATGGTTCAGACAGCAAGGTCAAGGTGAAGACCAAATACCACTTTGTGCATAATTCTCGATCATTAAAAGAAGGAACTCAAATGTTGCTCATTATATAGCCTGTCTGGAAGCACCAGCCTTTCAATTGATTTTCTCTGGCACAGTCTGGCAAGATTCTAAATTCATATCATCCAGCATTATATGGGGCAGGTAGAGTTTCGTTTGAACAAAAACCCAGGCCAATGTAATCCTAGCTCGGGAAGCTGATGCCAGGAAATCTACAGTGTGCTTTACCCAGACCACAGTTCAATTAAATGAATCCCATTCTCCTTACCACGAGTCAAGAAACACACAAATGGGGAAAATACAGTTGTCGGTGAGTGGGGTCCACTCTTTGGGAGGTTAAGACCACATAGATCTTAGTAAAATGAATTTGGGATAAGTTAAAAAAATACTTGTGCCAATATTGGAAATTTAAACTTTATTTGTAGCCGATAATTCTTCAGACAAGGTTTTCCCACACCCCTTTGCCTCCATGTCTCTTTCCTGGCCCAGAGACTGACTCCCTCCAAAGCAGAGGAAAACAGCCTTCCCTTTGCACCTTCCGATGCCCTTCAGTGATCTGTAGAACAACTCGGGGTATATTCAAGTAGGGCAAAGCTTCATGGCTCTCGTCCCTCAATCCTCCTTTCCTTTGGTTTGTTTTCCTCACTTCCTGCCAAAAATGCAGTTACCTTTGGCAGGGAAGTTACTACAATCCATTGCAAGTACTTCCTCCAATAATGAACACATAAAATCCTGTCTTTATTCATTTAAATCACGAAGCTGGCCCTCTTTACAAATACCCTGTTTTTAGTAAGTCTTTGGTGATAGACATCCATTCAAGTGAAAAAAGTGAGCACACTGGAACTGAAGCTGGTGGCATACAAAGGGCAGATCTTCAGCCCCTGTCTGTGTGTGTGCACAGCACCACTCACCAGCACGCACTTTTAAATAACGCCTACACAGAAACAGAGATTTTCCCGCATGCATTTTTTTTTCTGAAAGATTCACAAAAGGCTGTAACAGCATTCGCCATTAAGAACAAAAATGAAAGTAGAAAGAACTTTCACTTTTCATTTTAATATTTCCGTACTGCTTGAGTTTCTTTAGTGATACACATATATTATTTCCATTCTTTCAGAAAGTCCAAGGGCCATCTGAGTGATTATGCTTTTATTTTCTTTGGGGTAGATCTCTATATTTTTCTTTTTAAGATCTTATTCTTAAATGTAAAAAAAAAAAAAAAGGCAAAGACAAACTGCCTTTAGGGAGTGATCATTTCTCAAATTATTCTACCCAACGTGGAGCTACATAATTTTATTATGAGCTCTCAATGCCTCCACAGATTCATATGAATGAAAAACTAAAGTGCAATATTCCAATGGGATATTTTGGAAAATATTTAAATTCTGGGGCTCCCACCAACCTTACAAGTGAGTCCTCTAACTTTTGTTAACAGGTAAGCAAAATAGTCTCCAGAGAAGTGAAGCCACATCAGCGCCAGTCTTTACAGGCCAGGTCACTGTGAGCAAGATTGCACTGAAGGCTACAGTTCATAGACAGGCTCAGAGAGGGCCCAGTCCCTTGTCACATACGGTGGAGCGGGGGTTTAAGCCAAGTTCACTGAGATTTTCCATGACCCACACCTCAAGAGAGAGGTATGTTCCTCCATATCTCACATGAAATGCCAGGCCCTGCTGGGTCTGGGACGAAGGCTGCCTATCCTCTGTGAATACTCACCCCAGAGCCCGGGAACTCAAAGACCCACCTCCAGCCACAGGATATGGGGAACAAAAGGAGGCAGATTTGAAAAATGCCTCCCTTTGCAGGTGGCACTTAAAACACAAGTGCTTTGGGTCCATCCTGAAGTACATTTCCCAGCTCTTCTCCCCCATAACCTTAATCAGCTCAAACACAGAAGTGGGCCATGGCAGGGAAATGGGGATGGTGACCACTCAAAGGCAGAAGTTGTCGTACAGATTCTTCTCATTCCTTCAGAAAGGGATGCGATGACTTCCTCCTGGCCCGGGCAAGCCAGTCCTTCTCCAGGAAGCACAAGTGGGTGCACAAAAATTCTCTCCAGGATGTCACGACTGAGCATCTAAGCACATGGAGACAGGCTGAGAGGACAGGGGACATGGGAACATGCTTCTTTGTCATGCTTTTTCCCTATTATCAGTATGCTACGCTCTTGTGCAGGATGTGCTGCCACGGAAGGTTGGGGACTTCAGTCTCAAAGTCCGAGTCTCAATCCTGCCTCTCTGATGAGATGCTGTCACCCAGTTTCCAAGCACAAGCCCTCTAATCCGTACCTCCTTATGTGGTCCAGAGAAAATTAATCAACTCTTTAGCCATCACTAGCACTATCTACAAAATGAAACTGTTTTTAAAAAGACGAGAGACTTTGAATCTGAGAAGAAGAGTCTCTCTAGGAAAAAAGCAAGTACTGTTTTACGACTGGTACCTTCAACAGGTACTATCAGAAACAGATGAAAAAAATAACCAGTTTACCACTGATCCCCTAGGTGGGAGCAGGGCACACACTAAGTGAGTAGCTCCACTCACAAACAGCAACTTCAATTCAAAAATCTCTTCCATCCGTTTTAGAAAGTCAAACAGATTTGTACCCTGGGATTGTTTTCCTTAGCTTTTAGAATACTAGAAATGTTCTGAATAAATACTCGATTCTGCCTCGTTGCCTTTTGCCCATTTTACTCTTTTCAGAATTCACTGAATTTCAGGATGATTTCTGCATATTGCCTCTCTAGCTCAGTTTCTCAGAGCTCACCTGGCATTTCCTGGTTCACTAACAAGTTCATCCTTTGCAAGGGGAGAAGGGGCTGCCCACCCCATTGGCAAATGCCTTCCCCGTTTCACTTCCATTTCGCTTTCTCTCCCACTTCTTGACCAACCTGGAATGCAGGTGTTCATGAGGAAACCAAAAGAATCATTTCCCTTGATAGCCGTTCATCCTGGGAACTCAGGGGAGAGAGTAGCTGCGGCGTGCGAACTCAACACTGCACTCAGAAACAGACTTGCTCAGCTCACCACACGCCTTCAGACGCTTTCCTTTATTCAGAGGCAGCCACCTTTAACAGGCCATGTCAGACTCTCGCCAGGGATATTGCTATGACTACAGAATTGCATTATGTACAGGGTCCCACCACCAGCTCGCCTGAACTTGGAAGCAGTTAACAGCTCTTGCAACTGGCTCTAGAAGATACTCGTGTGTGTGTGTGTGTGTGTGTGTGTGTGTGTGTGTGGTGCGTGTGTGCGTTTGTGTGTGCGTGTGTGTGTATTTAATCCTCATCCCTTGCAAACCAAAAGTCCAAATGAACCTTTGTACCTGGAAGCAGTTTGTGGTTTAAATTAACAAATGTGCTGACCTCGAACACCAAAAACAGTGCTGATGCGTTTACCATTTGTCGGATTCCTTAGCAAGTGCTGCCAGTGGAGGGGTGAGAGGAGACACCTGCAGGACACCCCGTTTTCTAACCACAAAAAACACCAGCAGCCCCGGTGCCCCCTACTCCTACCCCAGTCTTCTTTGGTGTGATATCATCTCAGAAGGGAAGAGAAGCCGGCGGTCACTGGGCTGTGAGGAAACAGATTTCCAGACAATAAGCTGCTGGGAGCGAGGGGAGGGGATGGTTCATGGAGGGTTTTTTAGGGTTTGTTATTACATATATATATAAAATAAAGGCTGTGGCTTTTCTGTCCACTTGCTAGGTTTGAGCTCCCCTCGATTAGGGCTGGGGGGTGTGCTCGGAGGAGTGAGGGCTACGATGTCCCAGGTGCCAGAGAAGGGACTGTCACCGAGGTGGCGCTAGGGCTCTTGGAGAAGCAGTAAAACAAAGGGAACTAGGGCCCTTAACGGGGGGAAGGGAGGCGGAGAGAGGGAGAGAGAAACACGTCGGGGATAGACCAGGATGAAGGGCTGCGAGCATTGAGGGCAGATAGAGGGGAAGACGGAGGAGAAGGGGGAGGAGCGGGGAGCGGGACTGGAGAGGAGGTCGAAGGAAGGCAAAGAGAGTGGAAGGGCTGAGGGAGCGGCGAAAGGTCGGGAAAGGCCGGCTGGAAGGGAGGGAGGAAGGAAAAGAGAAAGAGAAAGGAGGGAGAGCGAGAAAGAAAGAGAAGGGAAGGAAAGAGGGAGGAAGGCGAGACCGAGACGGACCAGAAACTTGAGGCTGGCAGAGCGAGGGAGGCCACGTCGGAGCAAGGACTGTGAGGAGGGTGCAACAGTCTAAAGCCAAAGTTCAGGGAAGCCTAAAACCCAGGCCAATAAAGGAAGTGTGGTGGGTCCGGCCAGAGGCAGGGCTGGGCCTGGGGGCTGGCGAGGCGTTCCCCCGCGGGCCTGCGCCTGGTCCTGCGCCGCCTGTCCTCGGGTCCTGGCCGCGCCGCTCGCCGGGGCCGCCGCGAACACCTGTGCGCCCGGGTCCGCCTGCCGTTCCCTCCAGGCTCGGGTCCGGAGAGAGCTGCCCCTAGGAGGTCGAGGCCGGGATGGGCAGTCCGTGTAAGCTACTGAGGGCGTCCGGGGCCTTGGTGCCCGGGCTGGGAGGCTTCCTGTCGGCCACTGCGGGAGGAAAGCACAGGGGCGTAGGATCACTGCCCAGCGCTGCGCAGGGCGAGAGACACGCGGACCCTGGACGCCTGCAGAGCCAGGTCTTGCTCGCTCAACCCTCTAAGGCGCTGGAGAGGGAAGCAGAAACTCGCGCTCTCCAGAGACTCCGAGCGTCCGTGGGCGACCAGCCCTCCCTCTCCCGCTTAGGGAGAGACTTGCAAGGAGAGCTTTGGCAAGCGGGACTCTTCGCAAGGCCATCTGCAGGCACTGACCGCTGGCCAGGTGCAATTCGCGGTGCCCTCCAACCCCCTCACTACCCGCTCAGCAAAGGAAGTGAAGGGTGCAGAGGGCTGGGAAGGTTTCCAGGTCTGACTGAAACCTCCGCGGAAGGAAGCTGAACGCTAACCTCGCAGGGCCCCTTCTGCGGACCCTCACCCTCACCCTCCCCAAAGCCGAGGCGCGCGCAAAGGTGCGAGGGGCAGTCAATGCTTTGAGTCCGCTGACACCCGCGGCTCGGAGCTGGCTGTGGGCAGAGGAAAATCGTGCGGGAAATGGGCCACCAGAGAGTTCCCTGGAGCGGCCTGGATTCCTCTGAGGTAGGAGGCAGTTGCGCTTAAAGTGAGCGGCAGACTTCTCTGTGCCCGCGAGATTCCGGGATCCAGATGCGCTCACCACTGTGGGCACAGCGCGTCCTGGGGCCTGGAAGCCTCCGGATTAAGTGACAGTGGGCTTGCCAGATCGGGCGGTATTCTGCGCCTTACTCTATTATTTAGGGGGTTGGGAAGGGGCCCAAGTTATGCTACTGGAAGCCAGAAAGTGACGCCACTATTGCGCAAGCCTGTTTTTCCTTTCCCAACCTTGGTCCACTGTGCTTCTCCTACACCAGGATCCACAGTTTGTTTATACCTAAAGGGACTATTTTCCATTTTCTTTTTTCCCCCAAGTCCTCCTTTAAAGGGGGAGCTTGGAGTGCCTCGATTTGGAGTGAGGGAAACTCTGAATTTTTTGTTTCTCCTACAACTTCTCTCGCCTCAGCTTCAGGCGCAACTTGCTGTGGCCGCGCGGAGCTGAGCCAACCACCTCTGTGCAACACACACACACACACACACACACACACACACACACGGTTTCACTGAGGTTTTAAAGAGGTCTAAAGACCTTCCCAGGACAGAGTGGCCCCTCTACTTTTCCCTGGCTCTCCGTGCTTTTTCCTAAACACAGTTGTGGCCGCCCAGCCAACAAGTATTCAGACCTTTTCTTTCTACCCTGGACACACACTTCAAAGTGAGGACCTGTTTCGAAAACATCTGAGGAGGAGGAGGTTTCTCAGCCAAGGGACGGTTACCTTAGAGACAAGCAAGAAACTGAACCCATGAAAAATAAACACCCCGGGTGACTGCATCCCATCCTGCAGGAGAAAATCCTGCTGTGTTTTTAGCCCTGTCCAAGCCGTTCTTCCTCACAGGGCCCCTCCTGCCCTCCATTCCCTCCACAGGACATGGGGTTATGTGGGTGGATGTCTGGGCACTCTGCGGCTAGAGCCTCGGTCAGGCTCATCTAACTGAGGGGCTGAGAACGGGGATCGGTATTTTATAAATATTAAATTGCGAATGCAGGACACTTTGGGACCACTGTTGAGGGGAGGCCCGGGTCTGGGAAGGGATCCCCGGGGCAGGATCAAGAGGCTGGGGTTGGAAGCGTCCAGGTGTGACAATGCCAGAGCCCTCATGCTCCCTAACAAAGTTCACTTTTAGGATCCTCCAAGAACTAATCTCCAGACAGAGGTAGCTGGAGTAAAGCTGCAAGTTATCTTTAAAAATATAAGCAATACATTTTCTTTGTGCGTATGCAATATCTTATAGATTTGATTTCCAAACCTTTCATTATTCCAGAGCCACGGGGAGGGATTTAAAACCCTGAGTTTTCGAGGGTCTCTGAAAATGCCCTGTAAATACCGGCTGTCCTGAGAGAACATCTGGTGGTGTCTGTCACCTAAGGGTGGAGAAGGGGAGATGGTCGTGCCAGGCTGTGAAAAGACATTTGGATGTGGGTGGAGATTTCTACGATGTCAGTCTCACCAAGTGAAGATTCAGTGAAACTTTTCCTAACCTTCTCAATTCCCAAAAATTAAAGTTTCCATTCAGGGGGTGAGAACTGTAAATCATACTTTTTGCCTACATAATGGGAAACCCAGACTCAGTACCTTTTAAGAAATAAGAAAAAATATTAATTATAACGTTAATTAGATAACACAATTAATCAATTAATATTTAATTAAATGTCAAATTTTCGATTTGACATTTGATTAAGTTTCACTTAGGGTAACTGTTAAAATGTTCATTTGCACTAATTTGGAGGACATATTGATATATATATCACTGTGTTGTATATATCACTGTGTTTGTGTGTGTTCTGTGTATGTGTTAGGTGATCAAAGATATTTGTTTTTACTGAGCATTCATTGTATTAAATTGCTTTTCACTACACTGAAGAATTTTTTCTTACTGAAAAGAAATTCAATAAAAGCTACTCTTACTATTGTTATGAATTGAACAATCAGTGATAGTAAATTGTCCTGTGGGACAGGTTTGTTGGAAGATATAAATTTCTTAGGAACTGATCAGAAAATAAAAGGCAGTGATTCTTATTTATTCATTTGTCTTTTCAAAGATCAGTTGTGTTGGGGAGATAGATCTTTGAAGTCAGCTGTTCTACCAGTCAGGAGTAAAAATCCATAACCCAAGTATGTATGTAATTCTCAGGTTGTAAAAATAGATAGATAATGAATAATTATTCCTGTATTTCTGTTTGAACACAAATGATTGCATGCCAGCTTGAGAAATCTTTAATAGTGTCCCCAAGTTATGATTATCCTTTATTAGAAACTTTAAAGAACTTGGAGGACCACAGAATTTAATTAATTGAATAACTAGAGTAACAAATTATTGATGTAGTTTTTGCAAACAGGTGGGATATTACATAATAGAAAGCCGATAAAATGGTAAAAAAGGGGCTTAAATGCCAGCACTATTCAATGGCTCTGTATTTCTGAAAAGGAAAGTGTCTTCTAAAGAAAATCAATCACCAGTGAGGCTAAATGTTGAAATCAGCTTCCCCACCACTTCCACCTCAAATTAATGAGAGGTAGTTTACAAGTAGAAACTGTGTGTGTTACCTTCGGGTTGTTATCTGCACTTCATAATTTGTGTCTAATGTAGAGCTTAAAAAGCCTCCAGGGCAAAGTGGCTCTATTGGAAAACAAATGCATTCCTCTGAAGACTGTGGATCTTTTTTCTAAGTCTTCCTTCTCCTTAGGATGAACCCAGGGAAATATTTCAAATCTGCGGTTATACTTTTTAAATTCAAAAGAATCTGCTTATTTAAGTGATTTGTGTAACGTGGTACATTTCATTTTGATTTCGATTTCAACAGACAACCTCAGTTGTTTGTTAAGAAAACAAGCTGATTGGAGGCTGAAGATGAGTGAAGCACTCATCTGCGACCCCTCAGCTGTCCTTAACATGTAAAGCTTATAGGAGTTCTAACTCTCAACGTTTAACATTTCCTTCATTTAAATTTTTCTATATATGAGCAAGTGATAGTATCATATTATTTAAATTAAATTTAAAGTTTAAAAGAGCTCTAATTCTCAATTTTTATAAATTTTCTTTACTTGGATTTGCCTATAACCAGGCAAGTGAACACTGTCCTAATATCCCAGTATATCTGTGCTCTAGGAAAGGTAGAAAATACTTTTTCTAAAGTATTTCTCTTCCTCCATTTCACTGTTGTGGATGGCCTCTTAATTTCCTTCCTGCCCCCGACTCTCCCCATCCCCAATCCCCAGAGCATGCCCTCCGGTGCTCCAGACTACTTGGAAAAAAGCACTTTTTGCAGGGACAGCACCACGGAGGATGCCCTTCCTGTCCCCTGCCTGCCCACTGCTACCTGCCACTACATCCACCTCTCTCCCAGTCCTGGGTAGGTGGAGGCAAAGCAGCTAGTAAAAATCCTTTTATAATCTGAGAACACCACGCTGTCCCCCAGGTTAGTGCTTCATCCCTTTCTCTGCTGGGACTGAGACCCCCTGGGGTGACCCTTTCCTCTCCCAGGTTGGTTGAAGTTGCAAATTTTTAGTGCTCAGAACCTAAGACCCATCAAGTTTGAAATTAGCAAATCAAGCCATCTCTTTTAACAACAAAGAAAGTGAAGACTCAAGGGCTGGAGGGCTTTTCCTAAGTTAAAGGAAAAACTGGAACCCTCCTGGGCAGTGTGAAGCGATGCTTCTCTCACTGCTGTCAGTGAAATACCTGAAATCTGTTCCGTGGCTTTTCAGGAAGTGGACTTACGGAAGAGGAAGAGGAGGAGGAAGCAGAAAAGGAGACAAGACGCCCAGCCACATTTTCCACAGAAAGAGAGACCCCCAACCACAGGAAGCTCCTGAGCCTGGAGTAAAGGACACTGGTTCCCATGTCCTCCACTTTCCCACAGTGTGTATTTAAGAAAAAGAATCCAAGAGCCCTTTTCTTTTCTGTAAGGAATCTGGAAGAAACAGATGAGCAGTGGGGCAGAGACAGAAAGGGTCCTAGGATTGAGGTCAGGGCCGCTAGCGAGCAATCTCGTCGAAAGGGCTCAGGTGCCAAGACAGGTCCACAGAAAGGTGAGCCTGGAGGGGGCCTGCTAGACGAGTTTCTAGGTGGAGAAACCCAGAGAGAAGGAGGAATTTGCTCGAAGGTGTCAGAACCAGATCCAAACCCACGAGTCCTGTGTGCCAGAAGGACTCCCAGGGGGACAGTCTTGGGGCCAGCCTCGCTCAACCTCGGGTACCTTTACAGGGACACCTGTCAGAACCAATCTGCTCCAAGAAGCTACGGGCTCCACGGTTGACCCAGAGGAAGGGTTTCTGCCCAGGACCCACCTCGTCCCCACTGCTTTCCCGTTTCGCAGGCTCACACCCCCTCCCAGTACCCTTCCTAACCCTTCCAGCATCCATCTGACCTCCTCCCTGCGCTCCTCACCTTCACGGCTGGGATGCTTGAAGGTCATAGCTGCCGCGAGTTCTCCGCCGTGCACGGCTACACCGGCCCCGGGGGGCGCCAGAGGGGGGCCCTGCGCCGGCGGCCACGGCGGGCCCGGGGCGAGGTAGCCGCCGCCCGGGGCGCTGTACACGCCGTGCTGGTTGGAGGGCGGGTAGGCGCAGGCGGGGAGGAAACCGCCCACGGCCGAGAGGGTGGAAGCCGACTGTGGGTATAGAAAGGGACCGTCAGCAGCAGAAAATCCAGCCTTCTTTAGAGCACGCGCGCCTTCACTGAGATGGGGGTCCTCATTCTCCTCTCCCCACGCCCCGCACCCACTCCCATTCCCATTCGTTATCCCCACGTGAGACCTGGCCTCTAAATTTCCTAGTCAGGACTCTTTGGCAAAGTGATTTCTAAGAATTCACTCAAATTGTTTCAAACAGCAATTCGAAGGGGTCATGGTATTCACATTGGGATTCAGAGAAAGAAGGTCCTTGGTCTGTGGTCTGGAGTTCCAGCATTTTTAGCAAAAGTATCTTGGCAAAGGCAAGTCAACCCCTCGAAAGTTAGACTCCCCCAAACTAGAGCGCTTAAGGACAAGACAGAAATATGTCTCGGGAAGACGCTTGCTGGCAGGGCCGCCAAATACAGCCATCTGCCTGCCTGGAAGAATTTTGTCTTTTCTTTCTTTCTCTCTCTTTTTCCCCAATTCCCCAAACCTTCTGCTTCTCTGCTTAAGATCACCTCCCTCACCTGCCTCCTGGTTACCTGAGTGTATTTAATATCTGCCTCTAAAGCAGGTTTCTCGAGTCCATTCACTGTGGGGGTGGTCGGGAAGGCCGGGCGGTTCACGCCGGCCCAGTCTTCCATCTTGGGAGAGTAAGTGGAGCCTTCGCTCCCAGCCAGAGCCCCTGCAGGGAACACAGGACGGATTAGAAGGTACCTCCGAATCTGACCTGGGCACACATGTGGCCAACCACCCAGCCTGTGTCTGAAGGCAGGGCCAGGGGTCCCACAACACCTGTAGATGGCCTGACACTCGGCCAGGAGGCAGAGGGCGGCAGGGACTGGGATGTTCACCAATCCTGGTGGGGCAGAGGAAAGGCAGCCAGGCCTGCTGCCCCCTCCTCTTAGCCTTCAACCAATTTCCCACCAATGGGAGGCTGCTGCTGGGTCAAGAGATGGGCAGACTTGACCAAAGCGGCCGCTCCATTGTGCAGACATGGCTTCCAGAAATTTCCAAGTTCAAATCTATGCAACCTCGTGAAAATTGTATGGATGTCTCAACATCTGCACGAGCATCTGAAGGGCAGGGAGCTGCTTCTACCAGAACTGCCTCTGGAAATGCCCGGGGTTTCCTGAAAGAACCGTCAACCTTGTGGCCCTCAGGAGTCAGATGGAAGGGAAGCACACAGCTGCTCTCCAGGCCCTTGCATGTGCCTGGAACCAAAGGAAACCTGCAGATCTGCGTTCAGGCTTGCCTCCCCACCAGACACCCACTGCCATGCCATGGGAAGCTTTGGTCTCAGCGTGCTGCTCGGATTGGGTTAGAGCTACCAGGATGTACAAAGCCAATGCAGGGCCGCAGAAGCGCCGCAGCTGCTGGAGCTGAGCAATCACAGGTTCTGTCCAGCCACTGCTCTTTCCTCCTGGGCTACCGTGAATTTTGCTCCTTGCCCTCCTCCTGAGTCTGCTCCCCTAGGATTATGCCATTCCCTGGCCAGGTGCTGGCAGCTGGGGACAGTGCAAAGAAATCCAGACTGGATTCTGGCCGGATTTCTTCCCAGCCAGGCATCAAAGTTGTTCCAAACTTTCCCACCTTCCCCATCTTCCTTGTCACCCACTTGACCAACAGTTTGTTGAGCTATAAGTGCAGGTAAAGGGCAAGCCCTTGTGAGGGTGGCTGCAGCCCCAGCAGCCATCACCCCAAACTCCAGGACCTACAAAGCCACAGGGCCTTCAAGATGTCGGCCACTCAACCAACCACAAGACCCCTTTTCCTTTAGCTCAGAAGAACCACTGGGCCTGGGAGTGGGTCGTGAAGGATTCTGAGAGCTAAAGAAAGGGTCTCGGAATTGCCTGAGTGGGGTTTTTTTTTTTTCTTAGATCTGGCAATAGGAGTTTGCATACTTTTTGCAAGAATGAAAAAGCGCAATTTCAGGCCTCCAAATTTGTGGTCGGCGATTGCTCTTCCATTTGGGAAATATTTTCCATATTTGTCATAAAAAGTTCAAGATGTCCGAGGTCTCTCACAGAAGGACCCCAGCCTCCCTGGCCAGTGTGGAGCCCTCCCCTGAGCTAGAACTGGTCCCGAGAGGAGAGTGAGTGTGAGTTCTCTCCTGCAAGCCTGCCCGCCCCAGGTTCTGTCCCTTAATAGAAGGCTACGGAGGCCGCCACGACTGACCTGTTTGCTCCATAAACGTCCGGATGCCCAGGATGTTGCTGACCGAGTGTGCCGAGGGCCATGAGCGCGGGATGCTGACGTGGCCCGCCGTGCCTGGGACCCCAGGGTGGCTGCCCATCTTGGTGCCCGTGGGCGACACGGGACTGGGGTAGGGGTACTGGTAGATGTGGTTGTAGGGCAGCGTAGGCTGCGACGGCGGCTGCTTACTTGCCTCGTAAGGTCCAGGCTGCGCCAGGCTGCCGATCTTGTTGCGCAGGATGCGGCTGATGGAGCTCACCGAGGGCACATTGTACTTGTCACAGACGCCGTCGGCCAGCAGCCGGTCGCGGATCTCCCAAGCAAAGATGCCAGGGTCTCCCTGCTTGTAGTCCCGGATGTGCTTGACCACGTTGGGAGTGGTGACGCGGGGTTTGCTGCCCCCGATGGCCCCAGGCAGGATGGAGCCCGTCTCGTTGTAGCGCGCCAGGATCTTGCTCACGCAGCCGTGGGATACACGGAGCTGTCGACTGATGTCACAGGGTCGGATGCCGAGCTGCGCCAGCTCCACAATGCGCAAGCGGATGGCGTTGGGCAGGGGGCGGCCATTGACGAACACACCGCCCAGCTGGTTCACCTCGCCGTAGGTCTGCTCTACGGATGCGCCCGAGAAGAGTGAGCAGGAAGGGGAGAAAACACCCGGCGGGTTAGCCAGCCGTCCCCAAGCGGGGCGAGGGACTGCACCCAGGCGCACTTCCAAAGGTGACCCGTGGGTCCCCACACAACTTGGAATCCAAGGGCAAACCGCCTGGGTCCGCCTCCGATTGGGCGAGGGCGTAGAGGAGCCGCTGAGTGGAGCACCGCGCGTTGTAGCCCTCCGTGCCCTTTCGAACTTTTAAGCGTCTACTTGGAAAACTCCCTTCCCAGACTTGCTCAAACTGCCCCCTAAAGGCTGGGGACCCGAGGAGAATAGAGCTCCTCCAGGACCCAGGACTGGGTCGCCCAGGGAAAGCGGAGGAGAGGGAAGGGAGGCGCGGGGACCCGACCCACCTCATCTGCCCTCCCGCGCCCTGCCTGTCGCCCGCCCCTTACCCATAGCGCACGGGCCAGCCAGCTGCCTGGCGCCGGGGTGGCCCGGGTTGGGCCCGGCGCAGTCCGGGAGAGCTCGGGCGCCGCCGCCGCCGCCGCTGGAGAGGCATAGAGGGAGGGCGCGCGAGAGCCGAGAGCCGCGGCGGCCCGGCCGCGGGCTGGAGACGCGCTGAATGCGGCCGCCTAGCGCGCCGCCGCCCGCTCCAGGGCCTGCCGCCGCCGCTGCCACCCGCTCCCAGGACACTCTCCACGCCCGCGACCCCAGGCCCAGATTGAACTTCATCCGATTGGGAGAAATTCGTCTGACCGGGAGGCTGCAGCGTGTGGGAATCAATTTGACGTGTCCTCCACGTCAATCTCAGCAGTCACACCGGAGACGCGCGAGTTGGCAGCTCATTGGTTCCCGTCACTGAGCCCCGGCGCCCCCCTCCCCTCCCTGAAACTCTACCCCCTCCTTCTGTCTTTCCCCCTCGGCCTTCCTCCACACCCCCCACCCACCCTTCTATACACACATACCCACACACACATACACACACACACAAACACACACACACACACACACACACACACACACACACAGTTTCCAAGCCCAGCTGGGCCTGGGACCTTCCACTGCTCCGAGCCCCTTGCAGCCCCCTCCTTCCTCTGGCTTTGCGAATGATGGAGAAGTCATCGCAAATTGATTAGTGTGTTAGTACTAGTACTCGTTTTCATTTGGATTTTAGTTTTATTTCCACCACCGTTAATAATAAGACAGAGAATAAAAGTTGATCGTGGCAAGGTGTTTAGGGTGTGGCTGCCTCTACCTCCCCACTCCCTGGGTAACGGCTGCGGAAGAGTGGGATCAGTACCCCAGCTGGTTGGGAGTGTCAAGGTGAGCGTCCAGCGCGGTGCAGGGCGCCTGGCAGGAAGGCACAAGGCGGTGTGCCATGGGACTGATTCCTGCATGTCCCATTCCTGGCCAAGTTCTCAATCGTTCTCTCAGGAAATCTTCACAATTAGCCAACCACTCTTGAAATAGCGGGGGTGATTTTGGCGATGCGAGAGGGGTATAGTCCAGATCCTGCCTCCTACAGCCGGGCCCAGCCACGAGAACTCATTCCTCTCCAAGAGGTGATACAGGGGCAGGAGGCAAAAGGATTCCGCCTGCTGCTACCCGGCGCAGAGATCCGGCGCCCTCCGGACCCCTAGCAAGACCGGCGGGAAACCAACTGCATAGTTCCTGCTCTAGGCCTGAAGGACAAATTCTTTTCTCCTTGATGATGGAATCCCTCCCCACTCTATCCCAGGTGGCCTGGCCACGTCTTTCTCCCTGTACCTGCAGCTTCGGAAAGCCTCTGTTAAACTACAGAATTATCTTTTCTCCTTCATTTAAATGAGGTTTTACGCAGCCCTGAATTCTTTGCCACTGAGATTGAACATCAACCCATTTCTCTGTTTCTACCCTGCACCAAAACAGTTCTGAACTCCCCAACCTGTGCAGCTAACCGTACCCTGGAGCCATGCGGGGAGGGCCAAGGCAGTGAGGTTTTGAACCTGAACTGATTTGAGGGGGTCAGGACCTGAGAGCTCTGAGGTTGTGGCCAGTAAGCACAAAAGGAATTGGGCTGAATGTGCTGGACAAGGAAGAGGGCATAGGGGAGAGAGTGGGAACAAACAAGGTTTCTGAGACTCAGCGCTCCTCGAGAATCGAGAATTCCCTTTCCCCAACTCCTACCCACCCTAAGGGTCTTGCTCTCCTGAGCCGCCCAGAGTTGAATATGGCGCCAGCACCGTGCCCCTAGCTGAGGCGCTCATGGACCCGATCAGCGCAGCCTGGAGAGCCATGGCTGCGGAGGCCCTGACCCGTTTCCCTCCGCTGCTGGGCCAGAGAGCATCCTTGCTCCTAATCCACCTGTCTAAATGTATCTGTTAGGAGAGCCTGAGTCATAAATCCTGGGCTCTCTAGAGAAAGCACAAGGCGCCCGGTGGGGGTGGGGTGGGGGGCTGGGGACAGGGCCGGGGCCACAGGCAAGAATTATCCCTGAGAAAAGAAATCAGGTTTAAAACAAGTGAACTCTTCCTCTCCGGCGGCATGAATACAGTACAGTCTCTGGTTCTGGAAGCCTCTGGGAGGTCGTGGAGACCTGCAGGAGGTTTAAGGTTCAGTGCACTGGCCGGCGAGTGCGAGAGTGGGGGCGGGAAGTGTCCACGACAGCTCAGGTTTGGAATATGGAACTGGTAAAGCGAATGGTTTGGATTTAGATTAAGGTGGGCACGCCTAAGCCAGGAGTTCTGCGAAGGCACCCAGGAAAGGACTAAGCACGCACAGTATTCCGGGGCTGGGGGTACGGGGTGCAGGGAGTGGGGACGCACCCTGCCCAGTGCTCTCCAGATATTGCGGAATCTGCTAGCCTCTAATCTAGACTTTCGTCGGGCGCGAGATACCAAGAAAGGTTGATTTCCAAACCTTGGAGTCTCTGAGATAAAGAAACGCAACATCCCTGCCTCAATCCAGTGCATACCGGTGATCCGGAAAAGCAGCTAAAGCCGCTTCTTCCCCGTGAGGAATCAACAGGCACACTCAAATAAGAGGAAATAAAGCCGGTCGTGATGCCGGCTGGTTCACCCAAGTACCCCTTCAGGGAAACGTCCACTCCACCTCGGCTGCGGAACTTGGAAAAGTGTTAAGGAGTCGCGGTCCAGTACAAAACCCCGCCCCCGTCCCCGGGAAGTCCGCGGGTGGCCAGGGGAGACTGTAAGGGAGTGAGTTTGGGGATTGCGCACTCTGAGAGGGGGTGGTTCTCTGGGGTAGCGGAGTCCGCGGGCCTTCGACTCAGCCCCGGCCCCTTTCCCGCAGCCAGCTGTGAGCGATCGGGACCACACAGCCTTAGCTGCAGCCTTCTGCACGGTCGGGCAGATGGAAAACCTTACAGTTTGTCGCCCCCTGTCGTCCCCCGGCCGGGCTCCGCGGGTTCCCGAGCAGCAGGCTAGGCTGGGGGAGAGGTGGCCCTAAAATGAGATTGCAGAAGGAAAAGAAACATCTCTCGCAGGTCCCAGGGAGGCAGCTTAGCCCTCTCCACCGCCCGGGGACAGCTGCTAGCCAGCGCTGAGCGCATAGAGGTAAAGAACTCGCGGATTCTGCTTTTTTGCTTGGCTGGGTTTGGCACCGTATTTCAGCGTGCTCTGGGTGCAACAAAGTGCCGCTTCCGGGGTCGTGGGAGCCGGTTAGCTAAGGGCGCACTCAGGAACCTGGGGCAAAACTCCTCTGCCTGGGGCTATACTCCTACCGGGCCAGAGGATGGATTTGAGGTAACCCAGCTGCCTCGAGCCCTCGCCCAGTTTTCCGCAGGCGGGGAAATAAAGAGAGGCGAGCTCTATACGGAAAGTGGAAGTCAAAAAGAAGGCGCGAAGAGGTGCCCTGCCCTTCTGGGGCCTGGGGGTTGGCAGCAAAGGGGGGTACTGGTGAGTACTCCCTTGCTACAGGCCACCTGAGTCGTGAACTCAGCATCTGAAAGTTGACTGCTGAACAGTCAGGGGTTCTGTGACAGGACCGCTCTTGGAGCTACAGCAGCGCCTACTTCGCGTCTCCTGTGTCGCTTTGACTTTTGGTGGGTTTGTTTCGGGGAGTTAAAACGAGCAACAGGACGGGGTGCTCCGGGGCGCAGGTATTTCAAGGTCTCCAGGAAAAAGTTTAAAAAGCTGATGGAAGCCCAACTTAGGCATGCAAGTGCGCGTTTCGGTTCTTGAGGGAAGTAGCCGAGGGCAGAAAACACAGGTGGCACTCCCCGAGGGCCCTGGCCAGGCTTGGGCCTAACGACTGAGGACGAACGCTGGTACCCCCCAGCAGCAGCCCGAGGGGCCGCAGGACCGGGATCCAGGGTCTTCTTCCTCAGACGTCCTAGGCTCGGGCCTTAGTAGATCAGCTTTTGCTCCGGCGTGAGTCCTGGCTCGGCTCAGTACCTGTGCTTTTGCTGTGTTTTTAAGATCACTGAACCTTGAGTCCTGTGGTTCAAAAAAATTGAGTCTCTTAATTTTCTTAAATTTGCTTTTGAAAAAAAAAAAGCAGCTCGGGCTACCAAGGCGATTTATGCGTCGGGTTGTAGTACCACGCCTCTACTACCCATGCCCACAGTTTTGCAAAAAAAAAAAAAAAAAAAAAAAAAATTCACCACAGCACACTTAAAAGTAATAAGAAGATAATTGACGGAAAGAGAAATGGGGAGCAGCTAGCTGCAAAGAAACTATGGGAAGAAGAGCTGAGCCAGATCGTGGAGCTGCAAACCCTTGGGGGGGAACGCGAACAACTAAGGTAGCAAAAACTGGCTTGTGCAACAAAGCAACCAAACTCCTCCGGGAGTGACTGCGGTGGTGGCAGGAGGGGGGCGAGGAAGGGGAGAGAAGGACTAGGTTCTGAATCGGAGCCTATGAGCGCTGCGGTGGAGCTCGGGTCAGCGCGTCCTCCCTCCAGTGCGGACCCTCAAGGATGTGGTGGGGAGTGCGTTGGACACTGAACCTGCCTCTCCTAACTGGGACACACAGACTCTCCAGACCCTAAATGGAAGGGTCTGTTGAAGACTCTGCCAGCTGGCATTAAAACAGAGCCCCCAAGAGCGAGAAATAACGTGCTTGGCCCCGCGGACCCATTCCCGCGGCTAATTTTCATTTGGCTTGCTGCTGACCAACGTGGTCTGAAAGTTGGTTCTTTGCCTGGGCGTGCATGATGTTCGCTACCCTGGAAACGTTTATTATCGAAAGTTAAGTCAGGTCAGCCCGGGTAGTTGGAGCACCGGTTCCGCTGACCCTGGCCTCTATCAGCGAGTAATGTCCTTGAAAAATCCGTGGCGAGAGAAGGCAGGAAAACTTTTTTCGTTTTCCTAAAACGAAATGAATAAACAAGAATAGGTGAACATTTTCCGTGTGATTGACAAAACAGTGGAAGACCAGGGCTCTTCAATTCTGTTCAGAGATGTAAGGAAACAGCAAACCAGAAAACAGATTTCCTGTGAAACCCGCACTAGAAATAAATAGGGGGGAATTGTGTATTGCCAACGAAGATCTAAGATATTTTCTACCCTGCAATGCAGGGATCCACTACATTAATAACAGTCATTTTGGAGTAGAAACATTTTAAACGTGGCATTTGGCTGATAAAAATAAACTACAGAGGGTTGGTGCTCTTTGTAGAAAGAAATGGCTTCTAGAACCTTCCGAAGGATCTGGCATTCTTGCCCTTCTTGGGTGTATATCCTCACTGGCCCCAAATCGAGTTCTGCAGATTGCTAGTATGTCTCTCTCATTTCC